CAACAGAAAATCTTGATATTACCATGAAGTGCCCTCAAATCTTGAATCTCCAACCTGCTTGCCATTGTTTATCTGCTTTCTTTACTGGAACTACTGGAGCCAGACACAATGCTAAAGAACCTTCTGTTCTTCCCACACAATATCACCCACATGCCATCACCTGTCAGCGTGGTATACTGGGGTGGCTTTCTGGGTGGCTGGAATCAATGCCATCAGCATTTTGAATGCCAACAGAGTCATCCATGATGGATATGTTTCAGTATAGTTACTTGACAAAGACAGTATAGGAAGAAGCCTCGTGAGAAACTTGTAAACCTTTTATTATCAATTAAATTTAATTATCAATTAAAACCTTATGGATTACAGCAGAATATCTGTGACTACCTTAATTTGGATATGCCATCAGGAATGATCAATTGCTAAAGGAAGGCATCATGTTTGGTGAAAGAAATTGATCAGCACAAGAGTCACAATAATTGACTCAAATATGATGGTGATTCTGAGGATGATGCAGGGCCACGCAATGTTTTCTGCTCAATATAAAGTCTCAGGGTGTCAAAGTGGACTCAGTGACAGCTAACAACTATAGTGAGTCATGAAAGGCCTGGCAGGATCTGATGCAAGTTTGCATGATCATTTTTTTTCCTCTTGAAAGAAAATACATCAATAGCTCCTAGTTGACCCAATAGCTCCTGCTCCCTGAGCCTAACACTGCCTGTGAAAGTGCACGGGCAAGCAGCTGTCCATCCACTGTTCCTTTCAGGTAACCCCCAACAAGCTTAACTTTGAAGAACCTCTATAATGTGCTATAAGCTTAATATATGCTTGTACAAGGGCATCAATGAGAGGTGAATTTCCCCTGCTTAAGATCCTCCGGAACTAGCAGTGCTTACGAAATCCTGACTCTGCCATTTAGATGTTGGGGAAGGATGGAAAAGGCCTTTTTTAGGGCCGAATGCACCCCTATCCACCCTGGAAGCCTCACTGATTCCACATTGGTGAAACTAACTCCTCTTGGACTCCATTGGTGTTTTCTTTGCACATAATCATAGCGTGAATCATATTTATTTGCATGTAAAGCAGTGCAGATAGGGTCATAGGTAAAGGGGAAAATAGTCTTTTGGCAATTGGAGAACATTAGGTCTTTGAATACCAAACTTCCCACCATGATTGGAAGTGCAAAATTATTCATCAAACCGTATGTCAGACTTTAAAAATGTGTCTTCCTGCTGAACCAGCTCCTCTAATTCCTCCTGATAGATGAGCTGGTACTGCAAATACTCTGTGTTCTTCTCTTGTTTTTCCAAAACTCTCCCACGAAGTCCGAGAGCTACAAAAAAAAAAAACAAAACCCAAAAAACAAAACAGACACACATATTTAAGGACAAGTGAGAGGTTATCTAAGAACTCACTAATAAAGTTATAGGCCAGGGATCAGAAGTCATGAAGGAATACCAGAAATATACAATGTCAGGTCCTACTCCAAACTTTCTAAATCGGAACATGAATTTTAAAAGACTAGGTGATTCATATACACATTGAAGTTCAGAAGTATGTACTGATCTGAGATAGTCAAGAACTCCAGGGAGGCACAGGTATCCAAATGTACAGTTACAATATACTGTCTCTGGGTTATGAACAACTGTGTCTTCATAACTGTGTCTTCGCCTCTTTAAATAGAACTTGTAGGTGAGTTAGAGGCATGCTGTTTTTATTTAGCCTTACTTTAGTGAAAGAAAAGGCACAAAGCCTTTCAACCTATTTAAAAAGCTGTATGTGCAGCAAGTGAACGGGATTGTGATAAACCATTTGTTGCAAGTAAGGACTGATTTACTCATTCCAAACCTTAACACTCACATGGGCTAATAGGAGGTGTTCATAAAACAGGTGCTTGTAATCTTGTAATCCAGGGTCTGCCTGCATATGAATGTTGGGACATCTCATCAAAAGTACATATTAAGTTACAAGCTACTCTTTCAATAGCTTTCAAGTAGGACTTTGAACTGTTTCATTCTATGATCACCCTTTCCTATTGAGAATTCGTATTTCCATCCCAACTATACTAAAGCAGAATCTATATTTTAACAAGATACCCAGGTAAATCTTGTAGATAGATCCTTTTGGTGATTCCTATGTAAGTGATTCTTATAAAAATGTAGATTCTGATTCTGTATATCTGGAATGAAGATAAAAATTCTTAGCAGAGGATTGAAGTAGAATGAACCAAAGTCTAGTTTCAATGCTGCTTATTTGAATCACATTGAGATTTTGATGAGCTGCTCAGACCACACTCCAAAAGATTTAGATTTAAGTGGTTTGGTATAAGGCTTAGGCATTAGTACCTCTTCAAAGGTTCTCAGTGCGTCTAGTATGCACACAGTGTTGGTAGCTCTTGTAGTAGGATATTTTCTTCTCTTTGACTTCCTAAGAAGCTGGGGCATTGGTGAGAAAAGAGTTACCAGTGCACAAAAGGATGTAGGGAAGATTGTAGGATAACAGGCCACCATTAACATCCACCTTTGCAGGGACAGTATAGGGCAGAGATGCCAAAAATGTGGTCTCAGCGAACAGCAAAAACATCACTTGGGGACTTGTTAGAAGTGGAGTTTTTGGAGCCCATTCTACATCTACTGCACCAGACACACTGGAGCTGAGGCCCAACAGTTTGTTTTAATAAGGTCTCCAAGTGATTTCCCTTTTCCCACTAACCAGGAACTTCAAGATTTGCAGGGCCTGGCTTAGCATGCTCTCCAACTGCAGAGCAGACTTGAGGGCTTGTATGCCACTTCTCCAGTTGTCTATATCAGGCCTCTATGGGAGAGAATAGAAACTCAATTTCGGATCTCAGACACACCTTTGTAATTCACATCCTATTTCTTATCTAGGGTAACAGGATCAGATTGGTATAGGCCAATGGCTTACAAGTTTTCTAGTAATGAAGGAATGAATATCCTTAAATACTCATGTGGTTTTCAACCCGAGTCACTGATTTAGTCGATGTGGCCACACCACCGGTTGAGGGAGCAACATCCAGCAAGATCTAGTCTATGAGAGCTAGAGCAGTAGAAGCAAGAACATGGTAACTTTCTGGATACTTAATTGACTTTACTCTTAGCATATGTGCAAATTAGCTTGGTGACTTTAATGGGCTCCACAGAATGGGCACCACTCGTACAATTACTCCTTTGGCTTTGGAATTCCATTATGATTGTTCACTATTAGTTTCCAGACATTCACTTCTCTTTTTAGATGGGAAGGTCCTGGATGCAACACTTCTTTTTTTTTTTTTTTTGGAGTGAGCAAGCTTGTCCTTCTATATTAAAGAGACAGCTATGTGAAACTCCTAAGTGTGTACCTGAACTAAAGTAAAGATTTAAAATAGTATGCTAATAGTTCTAGAAATAAGCCTTTACAGCTGCTGTTCTCAACCCTGTGGGTAGCGACCCCTTTGGGGTAGAACGACCCTTTCACAGGGGTTGCCTAAGACCATTTCCAATGGTCTTAGAAACTGAGACACTGCTCCTCTATCGGTCTCCAGGCGGGTCTGCCCACAAGCAGATATGCCCACCTATGAGTACCCGGCATGAAGACTGTTACCCATGCTACCCCATGCTTTAAGGCAAAAATTGCACTTATTTGTAATTAGAAATCAATATTTCACAATATATAATTAAATAATGTTTTATGATTAATCACTGTGCTTTAATTATGTTCAATTTGTAACAATGAAAATATATCCTGCATCGGATATTTACATTATGATTCATAACAGTAGCAAAATTAAAGTTATGAAGTAGAAATGAAAATAATTTTATGGTTGGGGGTCACCACAACATAAGGAACTGTATGAAAGGGTTATGGCATTAGGAAGGTTGAGAGGCACTGCTTTAGAGTAATGCTGCTCAAATTATACAGGGAATTAAAATCATCTGGAGAGCTTGTTAGACACAGACCCTTGGACTCCACCCCCCAGAAAATGTGGTTCAGCGGTTCTGGGATAGGCGCCATGAATGTGCATATCTCAGAAGCTCCCAGGTGGTGCAGATCCTGCTGCTTCAGAGACCTTATTTTGTGTTGCACTAATTTAGCAAAGGCAAATAAGCATTCAGTGGCTAGAATAATGTGCTAAGGAGCTGCAAAGGAGACACCTGCTTACTCTCAAAAACAGTTGCTAAGAACTCTATAGAGGAACATAGTGAGCTAACAAGTTAGGTATCAATGAGTAACTTAGTTCTTTACATCCTGGTAAGACCCCATGAAGTCATCCTAACAAAATTACATAATTACCTTAATAATTGGAAGGCAGACAATACCGCCATGCTTTCTTAGGCGTCTTAGGAACTGCTTTGCGTGTTCCCTCTTCTCATCAGCCTGCTCCCTGAAAAATGTGGCAAAAGGAGGTATTCCCATCTCCTCATTGTAATAACAGGCCTAGGGTGCAGGTGAGAGTAGAGGAAGACTGGAGGTGAAAGGAGCAGATATTGAAGCAAAAATCTCACATAAACTTTGTTGCCCAGAAAGAGGCATGTGCCTTTTTGGCCAGTCTTGTGTGCTTTGTCTTTCAACTTTGCAAAGGTCAAGCTGTCTCCCTGAATGTAGGTTACCTTCAAGGGCAGCCACCCAGATTCCAAAATGCTGATGTCCAGCTTTTGGGAATGATGCCCTCTAAAAGGTCAGATTTGTCAGTCCCATATGATAGCCCTTAAATCTAGTAATTGCATAGACACACAACGAAAGTCTAACATAAATTAATATTTTAATTCAGTCTATTTCATCAATCTTCAAAATCTGCATTAATTGTAAGAAGCATATGTGTGTAAAATTGTTTACTATGTCTCCATCAGTGTTTGATATCCTTATTGTTTCAGGAATTCTCTAGAGAGAACTATGATTTCCCCTATGATAACCCACAGAACAGCAATATCATAGCCACCAGCAAGGTTTGTGAAACCATTCATTAATTATTACTAAGTAAGCACAAGTAAGTCTATGCTTACTTTCTGTATAATCTGACATTAACATCACCTAGGTTTGAGTTCAAACTTCCCTCACAGTAGCCTAAGAATCTATACTTACCATGGATAAATAAGCATCACTGACATGGAGTTCATAAGATGCCACACGGTTCAGAGCAGTCTGAATTTCTTCAGAGAGGTACCTATGGCCTTCCATCTGGATTTATGGAAATCTGGGTAGAAAGGGTGCAACTTGTTAAAGAAAGGGGATTCTTCTTAAATGCTAACAGGCTGTCCGCCAGCCTCCTTCCCAAAGCAAGCTGATTAAAATTCCATGCAGCTGAGATCAGCAACTACCAAATCCACCAGTGATGATTAAAGAACCAACATGAGTAGAGAAAATGGTAAGATAAAATAAGGGGTAACTTTACAAACTCTCTCAGCCACTGTGATTTGTGAAAACTTCCCTAACTAAACTTGTTCATAGGCTAAATAACATAATGGATTCCTTAGCTTCAAAACCACTCATGATTCCTCATGCTTGTTTCTATGGGAAATCCAAAAAGACTGATTAAAATACATTCTTTATCTACAGAAGTTTTAACACACCATTGTCAACCATAAAGGCCTCAACACACTTATCTGAATATGATGGGCATTCTGAAGAGTCAAAAATCGTGTTTAACTAGGAATTAGGGCAAAGTTTGTTGATAAATTAGCATCTGAAATTGACCTTGAAGGGTTGGTAAGAACATGATAAAAAAGAAGCGAAAGAATATTCTTCAGGCTGTAGGTGCAAGATGTTAGTTTTTCCCAAACTACAGTAACACTGCACCATTTAAAATATTTTGTTTTCTTA